CAATACCAGTAATGATCTTGTAAATTATTATGGCCACTTTTATTGCTGGTGTGATACGGGATTCCCCTTTTTTACTTCCAGGAAGGACCCAGCCTCTGAAATGAAATACTTGGTATTCCACTCCTGTCTTATGCAGCTCTTTTCAGCATGTCCAGTGTGTTCGTCAGAGTCCTCAAGGAAGATAAAACAGATAGGCACATTCATTTCTGTGGAGCAGCGGTGCACTAATAAACAATGTTCATTTACAACGTATGTGACAAATGTTATGACATCTCTCATGACAGACAAAGTGACCATATTTGGAATAACAATATTTAATGTGAAATGTTCTCGTATTTTGGCCTTGAGATAAGGCCTATTACCATTATAAATTAATAAACAGTGCTATGCATACTTTTGCCACAACCAGGAAACCAGTCACGTTTCCAAGTATTAGAAATTAAAAGGAAGACTTCCATTGCTGATGCAAAACTAGTGTAGAGTACTGTATAGTGGTCATGGACATACACCTTGTGACGTCATCAGCGCGTGGTGGCGCGGTTGCTGGTTTTGTAGCAGACGATGTTTTTGACGCTGAGATTCGGTGACAAAAATTGCCCCATTTAAGAAATACGGCAAGATATTGCCATAAACTTTTTTGGAATCTTTTAGTACCCTACCGACACTAAATGTGGAATGTTGTATGGGTGGACTGGATTGACCCTTTAATAGAAGAGAAGTGTGGAGAAAGGTGAGAACCACTACTGACCTGGCTGAAATAATCATCCAGTTCGTTAGCGACTTTGAGAGGATCAGATGAGGGTATCTCGAATATGGATGACGGGGGCTGGATGGGGGGGGGGATGTTTGCCTGATAGTTTATGGATTTCCATTTGAGACAGATGTAAAGGATGTAATTGATGAAACAATTTCGCCAGCTATTCGTTTTACTATTACGGATTGTACAGCGAAGACAGGCAAATGCTCTTTTAAAGGAGATAGGGGCTGATAGCTGATTTGGGGTACCTCGTTTGTAACGGTAACTGTTCCAGGCTGCACGTTTTAAGCGAAGTGCTTTAGTGCAATCAGATTTCCACCATGGAACACATTTGGAGGTATAGGGTCTTGAGGTTCTAGGAATAGTACTCATATGAAGTAGGAGAAAGGAGAACTGAAAAGTTGTCACTATAGGGAAAGTGGTCTAGAAGTGACCAGTGGAAATCTAAATGAAGATAAAGGGAGCATAGATGGGTCAATGCATGAAAAAGATTGCATGTGTATCAAAGTGTGTGGGGCGATCTGAATTTAGAACAAGGTCAGCTATGAAGAGGAAGCTCTCCAGAGATCGGCCACTGGAGTTGGTTATAGAATCACCCCAAAGTGTAGCGGCAGTTGAAATCAACTATGAGGAAAGGTGGTTGAAGTTGGGAAATTAGATTTTCAAAAGCAAAGTCAATGGGGTGGGAAGGGGAGAAGTAGACTGAAATCACTGATTCAGCAGTGAAGAAAGATATGAATAACTGCAAGGAACAGTGGTTTGAAAGGGAGGTATGACGAGGCTTTTCTGGGTGATATGTATGGACGAGACAAAGGGAGTGTGGGGAAGAGAGAATGATAATTGGGGATTGGTATTGGAGGATGTGTAAGAATAGTATCGAAAAACAATGGACGGGTTATGAGGAGGAAAGGATATGATGAAGGTCAGGTCTGTGAGAGCATCCGCGAATATTCCAATGGATAGTTATACTTTCGTTGATTTAATGTTAAAGACTGTAGTACATGTTGGAGAATTTGAAGGGGAAGGAGCTAGAGGGTGGGATAAGGAATGAGAGGGGGAGGGGGGGAAAGTGGTGTTGTATCAGGAGGGGTATTTGGAGGTGGAGGGTCTGAGGAAGGGGATACTGGATACAACGGATTCACATGTGTATCCAGGAGGGAATGGAATAGATAGAGGGGATGGTGGGAGGGTTAATGTGGACAGGCCCGGATTGGGGGGGGGGGGGTGTTAGGAGGGGGTAGGATGATAGGGTGTAGAGAGGATAGAAGGAGAATGGATATCAGCAATCACTAAGTGTGGAGGGAGCAGGAGTTGTAGAATTTGAAGGTGGGGGAGTCAGTGTTAAGTAATCTTGAATATTCAAGAGTTAAATGGAGTTGGGGGAGTTTGAGATAAAGGTCTTGTGAGGGGGGGGGGGGTAATTGATGAAACAATTTCGCCAGCTATTCGTTTTACTATTACGGATTGTACAGCGAAGACAGGCAAATGCTCTTTTAAAGGAGATAGGGGCTGATAGCTGATTTGGGGTACCTCGTTTGTAACGGTAACTGTTCCAGGCTGCACGTTTTAAGCGAAGTGCTTTAGTGCAATCAGATTTCCACCATGGAACACATTTGGAGGTATAGGGTCTTGAGGTTCGAGGAATAGTACTCATATGAAGTAGGAGAAAGGAGAACTGAAAAGTTGTCACTATAGGGAAAGTGGTCTAGAAGTGACCAGTGGAAATCTAAATGAAGATAAAGGGAGCATAGAGAGGTCAATGCATGAAAAAGATTGCATGTGTGTATCAAAGTGTGTGGGGCGATCTGAATTTAGAATAAGGTCAGCTATGGAGAGGAAGCTCTCCAGAGATCGGCCACTGGAGTTGGTTATAGAATCACCCCAAAGTGTAGCGGCAGTTAAAATCAACTGAGGAAAGGTGGTTGAAGTTAGGAAATTAGATTTTCAAAAGCAAAGTCAATGGGGTGGGAAGGGGAGAAGTAGACTGAAATCACTGATCCAGCAGTGAAGAAAGATATAACTCTGCAAGGAACAGTGGTTTGAAAGGGAGGTATGACAAGGCTTTTCTGGGTGATATGTATGGACGAGACAAAGGGAGTGTGGGGAAGAGAGAGAGTGATAACTGGGGATTGGTATTTGGTATTGGAGGATGTGTAAGAAAATTCTCGAAAACATAATGGACGGGTTATGAGGAGGAAAGGATATGACGAAGGACAGATCTGAGCGGAAACCGCGAATATTCCAATGGATAGTTATACTTTCGTTGAATTAATGTTAAAGACTGTAGTACATGTTGGAGAATTTGAAGGGGAAGGAGCTAGAGGGTGGGATAAGGAATGAGAGGGGGAGGGGGGGAAAGTGGTGTTGTATCAGGAGGGGTATTTGGAGGTGGAGGGTCTGAGGAAGGGGATACTGGATACAACGAGAAGACTGGTGTCTTAAGTGTAGAGGCAAAGGAAAGTGGCGGTTGTGGTAGGGGAAGAGGGGTGGAATGCATGTTGTGGGTAGTGCAGGGAGGGAGAGGGGAAGGTGTTAAGGCTGTAGTAGAGATTAGTGGGTTTAGGATGGCAAAAAGGAATTGACTGGGGAAGGTAGGGAGGTAGAAGAGGGGAGGGGGTAGGTATAGGAGAGGGTGTAGGAGCTTAGGGGTAGAACGAGTGACGTTACTGGAGTAGGGATTAAGAGAAACCGTCGACGTGCTTCTTGTCTGGCTTCAGACAAGAGTGAATCAGTTGCTACCTCACCAATTTTTAGGTGGGGCAGCCCCTATAAAATACATTATGGGGGCCACCACAGTTTGCACATATGCACTATTGTGCAGAGCAGTTTGATCTAGTATGGCCAGGTTGGGCAAAGTGGGTCATCTGGCTGTGGAATGGCAAGATTTGGCCGAGTTTCCTAGACACCTATTTTGGCACTGACAAGGTTGGACAGGCTCTCCGAATTAAACATTTAAAGGGAAGGTCGTGTCTACAGAAAGTATTTTGGCAATGTTAATGGGGTTTAGGTGAACCCTGGGAGGATTGGAGTAGCATTATACTAATATCCCACCAGTCTGCGAGACTAGTGAGCAAGTCTTCCACCATCTTCCCAGTTGGTTATAGATTGGGCAGTTTGCTGGGGAGATACCATTCCAGTGCAAGCATTGAGGGTTGGATGCCGTTCTGCAAGGAAAATGTAACCATGTAGACTTAATATTGGTTCAGCTTTGTTATCAGAGCTTAGTGTGACAAAATGGGAACGGTCAGATCAGCTACAGAAAGCTTTTTTTTTTTTTTTTTGAGACATTGCTGTAAGATAAGGGTGTCGTCAGATTAGGGAGCTGTGGGAGGGATCAGAATCTGATCTGGCTAGGCTAAATAGTATTTGTAGAGATGGGGTGTATGGAAGACAGTGTTGAGGGAGATATTGCCCACCTCTTCATAACACTAAGGCCGTTTAGTAATAAGGGAGGATGGGGTCGTTGATGAAGGTTGTGGGGGGTAGGTGTTGAAGTTGACCATGTTGGGAGAGTGGAAAGGTCTCCTGGTGGTTTAGGGTAGACACTAAAGTAGTAGGCATTAAGGAGGGGGTAGTTTTGGTGTTCAGAGCTGTGGTTAAAGGAGCTTGGGTTTGGGAATATGGAGCAAATTGTTGGTGCCATTTTATGGAGGGCCAAGCCTCATTGCCCCTAATAGTGGAATAACCTTGTTGGCCATGGTAAGCCTGGAGTACATTGAGAGAAATAGTCCACCCCTCAATATCCCCTTAATGGGTAAGGGCTAGGCAATTAAAGCAGGGGATAGTGTGCCCATGGCTCCCTCAGACCATTCAGGACTGGTACAAAGTCAAACTTTCATGCCTTCAGCATAGCTCTCACATCTTAAGTGAGGGTAGAAGATATTGGTGAAGGGACAGAACACCAAGGAAAAAAAAAATTTAGAAGAGGCTAGGGCCGAGTCCCAAGGTTGGGGAGGGGGGAAGGAGTTCCCATCATTGGGTCCCAGTGCCTCCTAAGCAGTTAACTAAGGGATATATCCCTAAGGTCCAGGAGCACAAATGCATTATTTTTTTCTCCCTTAATCTTGCTTTTACTTCTGGAAGTCTAAACCCAGACCAGGGGGGGGGTAGAGTAGTCCTGGTTTAGAGGTGGTAAGTGGGTATTTATGTAGGCCCATTTTACTCTACACCTCAAAGTGTTAATTAGGTACCGGTAGGTGGTACACTAATCAATATGGAAGTTTGCAGGTTGACTAAACAAAAATTTACTTAAACAGTTTAATAAAATTTTAAAATTGTTACACTTGCGGTATTAATTCTGGGTATTTGAAGACTTCCACATGACATGCGTGGCCAAAGGCTTCATGCGTCAAGCCATTCATTTCGAGGTACAGAAGCTTAGCAGAGGAGTCTTTGCCCATCAGCAAGTAGTGATCTTGGATATCTGGGAAAACCTCGTTGGGCACACTTAGATGCTGAGCCCAAGTTACTCTTGGGGTAGAGAGACCCGAGAAGAACTGCAACTCTGAGCCTGAAATAAAGGGAAGATTAGGTTTAATGTATACACACAAGTTTAAGAAGTAGTCCCATGCATGAAAGCCTTACCAAGTACTGAATAAACAGTTGGGTAGTAGTTTCCTTGCATGACTACTGCCATGGTTTTTCCACTAATTGCATTTCCACTGTAGAAAGAGGTTATTGTGGCAGCTTCATACAGTGGTTTTGAATCCAACCACTTCAAAGTCATTGCAAGTGGGTCCAAGTTGTACAGCTGAAATAGAAGACAAGGTTATACAAGTGAAGTAGAGATGTATAACAAGTTAAAAGACAAAGTTAACCCTACAAACCTCCAGGTGACATTCCATTCCCGAGATAGGGTTCCTGGTTACTGCTGCCAGGAGGAATATTTTGCCATATTGTTCAAACAGCACAAGGTCATCAACAGTCACTCTTAAGGAGGAGACTTCATTTCCTTCAACCATTAGGACTAACTGGTCCTGCTTCTTTATTGCAGTCACAAGGTGTCCAGATTTAGACAACAATGCAGAACCTAGAAGATTACCACATTTAGCATTTAACCTCAATACTTGCTTATTTGCAAGACAAATTTGGGAGAACTAAAAACTTACCCATTTCAGCACTATCTGTACTAATTAGAGTGAAGAGCAAACTTGTAGTATCAAAGCTGTATGCATGGGTAGCATCTAGAGCCGTTAGATATAGAATGCCGTTACTTGCAGTAATTGTAGTACCAGGAAGCAGATCTTGGTATACCTGGAATTAAAGAAGCTTAAAGAATCCATCCCACATTGACACTTACTTCAAAAGATTGAAGTAATGCTTACCGATAGTGCACCGTTAGACATCTTCCAGACTACACTATTCTGTTTAGTGCAGGCATTTCCTTCACTTGTTGCAGCCATCACCAAGTAGGTCTGTAAGAGTGCAAGATTAAAATAAAGAGAAAAGGCAGATTATAAAGACAGACAAAGGGCTTCAAAAATTCTTACATACCTCACCACCTTGCTCAACTGCTAACCAGTCTCTACCATATCCCGACCCTACAAGCGTTTGTACTCCGACAAGTTGTCCCGAAGATTCGTCAAACCTGTACATTGTTGAGCTGCACTCATCCTCCCAGCTTATGATGACATAAGTAGTGTCTGAAGCCTGGAAATTAATTAAAGGCAATTAATATTTTAATTGGTAGGCAACTTTTAAGTTTGCCATTTAAAGTCTTTGAACCACTAAACCATACCCTGAAAGTTGTAGAGGCATGATGCGTTTTACCAAGATTAAAGTCTTGTACAAGCCTGAAGTAGTCTGCATCAAATATGGCTTTCCCAGTATCATTGTGAGCTTCCATGATGAGAGGGCACTTCACAGCATATTCACTCTAAAAAGAATCAGGCATTAGAGGTTAAGGTCTAATTTTGGGACCTAGTTGCGATTTGTCAGGAAATTAGCCTTTGGTCCAGAACTTGAACCCCCCTAGTGCCAAGTGATGGACTAGGTTTTATTAGAGCACAAGACAAGTTTTAATTAGCAACATGCTCATATGCCATTAGATCAGATGCAATAGCCTCTTAAAGATGGTAAGCCTTAAGGTCACCTACATCTTACCTTAATTCCTTCGTTGTAAGTAGAATATTGGTTCAAGGCTTGTTTGGCATCGTTATACACTTGTCCAATGTTAAATTCATCAATGGTGCCGACAACTCTTAACGAGTCCTGGGGATGAATTGGTCAGTTAAAAATTAATCAGCATGCTCAAATCTAAAACTTTTGGAAATCTGGTCCATACCTTCATAGTAACGGAAGAATCGAACATCAGGTTTGCCGAAATTATAGCATTCTCATTGTAATACCATGCATTACTGGACAGGTCACTCATATCAAGGTCACTTATCACACTGGTGCTGCTTGTCAGGGATGAAGTGGTCAAGCCAGTAGAGAACTTGAGGCGACCTGTTAAGAAAAGTTTCATAAACCACCATCTCATGCACTAGGGGGGTTTATGTGCCCACCTTTCATAGAAGGGGCCAAGCCATCCGAGTGGCTAGTATCGAAGCAAGGTTTGCCCATTAAGGAAGACTCAAATCTATTTGAAAGACATGGCCTCCATACCTTGGACTGTAGGTGCTTCAGATAGATAAATTGCCTCAGTTGCCATCTTTATGTTGTTAGTGTTGCCGGTTACTTCTACATTGTTAACCACTTCAACAAGGCCAGTTATGCTCTTCATGCCAGTTACAGTCTGCCCACCATTAACCTGCAAGAAATTATTTGTGGTAACCCTTGCAGTTATATTCATTTGTTTTAGAAATTGAAAAATGAACAAGTCCATACATTTAGTGTATTTGCAACTTCATCCGGCAATTTCTTAGTGTTAACTAATCCGTCGACGGTTATGCCACCAGTTGCAATGTCTCCAAAATGCACATTTGAGGAGGAGAGCGTCTGTACAGTATTTGTTGTGAGGTACTGTGTTGCCAAGTCATAGCCATTAAGGGTTGTAGCTCCAAGGGCACCTTGGACAGAAAGGTCTGTTCTGAAATCCTAAAGAGGGAGGGTATTAGTTTATACAAACAGAAGCAAGCCCTCTAGCTTTAAGAAAAGTGGCATCAAGAAAACTCACCAATGTTATACCATGACTCTTCGAGTCGTCCAGTAGAACAGCAGTGGTCATTAGAGTCTTGTAATCTACATTATCCACAGTTCCCTGAAGTTGCAAGTTCAAATTAGTAAAATTTGAAAGTAATAGTAGTGCATGTATATTGCACTATTACAAGGTACTTACCTCGATGGTTAAAGAGTCTGCAGTGACAGATGGTGCACTCACTAAACCATTTACTTGAATGGGTGATGCAAGACTGATGGGGAGATTCTTTCTTACAGCATGGCTCAAATAGTAAGCCAAGTCCTTGCCATTAAGGGTATTAACATTAAGACCCTTGAAGGTGGTGTCCTTAAGGAAAGTTTTCTTCCCAGAGATTGCCAAGTCTTGTGCTTGGAGCCTAACTGCATCAAGTAACCTAGCATTTACATTCACTGTATTTAGATTACTCTCAAGATCCACATTTTCTGCTTGGACTCCTTCGAAGATGATGTCATCTAAGGGGGAAGCAAGATAGTGTTACCAGGAAGATTCAATACCCATTTGAATATTAACCCCCTAGTAATACTGCCAAACACGACTTACTGGTTTCATCCAGACTTTGTTTCAGAGCTGTACTATCCAATGCTTCAAGGTCTACTGCATCAAAGGTGCCGCCTAGAGTAAGATCCTTTTCGGCATTCAGAGAGAAGAACTCGTATGGTGCTGTAACATCCTGGTCTGTATTTAGGGTTAGTAGTCTTGCACCTAGGTCAATGCCATTTGTAGTTCCTGTGTTGATATTTCCCTTAACAGAAAACTCTGCAAAGGTCTTTTTGCCTGAAAGGAAAAGTCATAAGCATACTGTTCTGGTTCAGGGCTGCATGGCTAAACAAGCCAACTTACTGCATTTTGAGATGAAATTTGCTAGAAATTTATTGGTACATACCAGTTATTTGGACCGAGCTTGCATCTCTATACACTGCATTGTTGTGCACCACTTGCAGGTCCTTCCCATTGACAAGTCCTCCAACTGCAACATCGTCTTGCAGGTCAAGGTCACCCCAGGTCACAGATCCTGTCATGGCATTGTTACCTCCTAGGAAGACTGCATTTTCGTGGATTCTGCTTATGTTCTTGCCATTAGCACCAGCCTTGTTAGCTGTACTTACAGATCCTTTCACAGTTAGGCTTGCAAAGCTCAGATCCGATGAGATGATCGAGTCCATGTCATCTGTGACAATGTTGTTCTTCAACTGTGCAACATTATGCCCATCGATGTTTACTGCATCAAATGCACCAAGAACAGATACCATTCCATTTACAGTTAGGGCACCCAAGTGGGCAGTAGGATTCTTGCGGCTCATGCGAATGCTGTCCAGCACAGAAATGTCAATGCCATTCATTGTGAAGCCATCAGACATATCGATTTGGCTAGTATCCAGAGCACCAAAGGAGGCTGCTGCAAACTTCTGGGGAACAGTGAAGGTTTGGGCACCAGAGTTAGCCAGCACCTTGGTGAAGTCCACACCAGATACTCTGCCCTGCACATCTAGTTCTCCAGCCGACACTGTACTGGTGAAGGTCTTCCTTCCTGTTACCACTTGTCCCACCTTGTCCAAGTAGAGGGCAGAATCAAAGAGTTGCTTCAAGTCCACACCATCAACTAGACCCGTTACGTCAAGATTTGATGAGAAAGTAAGTGGCTTGTTGAAAGTTTTTACTCCAGTGATGGTTTTAGCATCATTAGTCGTTACAAACTCATCAAAACTTAAACCATTGAAGGTGCTCATGAACATGGCATTAGAAGTCTGAAGATCGGCATTAAAAGTTTTGGTACCAGTTACCAGAGCAGAACTATCCGAGGTGTAGATTAGATCCCCTGCAAGGCTAACTAGGTTCAGACCTCGTAGTTTGCCACTATAAATTACAGTTGGAAGAGACACGGTCTCTTTAAATATAACATCAAATATATTATGAGTATTCAGGATTGCTGTCAAGTTCTTGTTGAGTTCATTGAAGTCCATCCCTTTCACAATACCAGTCGAAACATCTAGATTTCCTAGTATGCTTACAGATTCAGCAAGAGTAATATTCCCCGTAATTATTTGAGGTCTGTGAAGAGTAACCAATTTATCAAACTGGACACCATTAACAGTTAAACCACTGTCAACTGTAAGATCGTGACAAGTCAGAGTGTTGAAGGCTTTTGTGCCCAGGTTCAAAGCAGAATCGGTTTTAAGGGGCAAGTCAGCAGGGAAAACCCTACCATTGACATTGCCTTGTACTTGCAAGGCATTGGCTGTAAGTGTTGGCAACTTTAGTCGGCCCGTTAGTTGACTAGCCTCATCCTTGAAAACTGTAAATGTCAAGAAGTCAGAAGATTTGACACCAGATAGCAATGAAGCAGTGAGAGACTTCGCCGTCACATCATTAGTGAAAGCAAGTGGTCCTTTTATTTCTCCACCTGCTTTGGTTAGTGCATTCCTGTACAAGTTATCGATTACTACTCCATCCACTTCGTTACTGCCTACATTCAAGTCTTGGACTACAGTCAAGTCCTTGTCAAAGGCAACATAACCTGAAAGAGTAAAAAAGTTTAAGAAACCTTTGGCATCAACTCCATTCTACAGAGTAATGGTCCAAACACTTACCCAATTTGGCTGGTCCATTCAACAGCACTGCATTGGAGAGATCAATACCACCAACTGGTCCAGTGGGTGGGAGGTTTACATTATCAGCATTCAGCGTGGGGAAGCTTACAGTACCCGCAATGTTATATTGTCCAGTTGTGGTTGCAATGTCACTAACTGGAATGTCATCCAGAGAAGGAGTATAAAGGTTTGTAACATCAAGTTGCGTTGCAAAGGTCTTCTTTCCAGTTATCTTGCGGGCATCACTGAAACTATAATTAAAAGGGTAAGACTTGCCCTCAACATGGTCTGTTCATCCCCAATATAAAAAAGGTTATCATAACCTACCTTATTAAGCCTTCTAGATATTCAGTTAGAGGGAAGACTTGGTCATTTTTATCCACCACTTCCTGAACCGACACCTCAGTGGTTGCAAGGTTACTTACAGTCAAGCCATCTACAACTTCCTTTATTCCAGTTATTTTTGGGTTTACTCCAGAAACCTTTACTGCATCTGAAGATACACAAGAGCTATATGCATGCCATGTATCAAAAATAATTAAGCATTTGTAAAGCTTCTTAATTCTACTTACCCTCCAAGGTTGCAGAAAACTGGGTCATTGTTGCACTTAGGTTATCGAGCCAGGTGAAAGAGCTACTAATATTTGCAAGACGTGCTTTGTAGTCGTCATATGATACACCCGAAGCGAAGTCTGTGCTCGGGAAATTTAAATCAACAGCTTCCAAGTCGTTGGTTGCCAAGGTCTGAAAGGGGAAGTAGTGATAGTGACTTGTGATCAAGTGCTACTCGCTTAATCCTTAAAGAAAAAAAATTACTAACCCCATCCACAACAATCTTGTTCATTGTGAAGTCTCCAGATAACTTTGTAGTAATGTGTATGTTTATTGCATTATCCACTCTATTCTGCATGGTGGACATGACAGTAGTCTGTCTTGTGTACTCGTTCTGAGGGGGAAGATAAAGTCAATAGTATAATATGGTTTAAGAGGCTCACCCCTACCACCAACCACCCATTTTATTGCCAAACTTACCTCTATATAAGTCTTTGCAGTTTGCAATTGCTGACTTTCTTGTACCTCTCTATCAACAATGTCATGGAGGCTGGAAGTTACCTCTATTGCAGCAACACCTGCTGCAGCTTGTACTAGCACCTAGGTTAGGAAGTGGTAACATTAGATTAGGACTCTCTATTACAAGTCTAGAGACATTAGAATAGTACCTACAGTTGGAGTTGCGGCAGTTGCAACTTCTACAGATCCAAAGCTTCGCTCCCATCCAGTGATGTCTGCCGATATGGTGGTCTCATTGGCCTAGAAGGTGGGTTACAAGGGTTATACTTGTAATAAGAATGGCTAAAGGCCAACACTTTTAATGTGGTCACTTATACGAAGTTTGCACTAACCTTGAAGTATTTTCCATCTACATTGTTCCATACAAAGATAACCAACGTGGTGCCTGAACCTGTCAGGAGAATCACATCATCTTTGCAAGATGGGATCTGCAAAGGAGAAATGGTTAGTTAATAGTTTAAGCAAAAAATAGGGGGGACACCTTATAGATGGCAACTACT